ATGTGATAACACTCAAAATTGCTTTTCACAATAATTGTTGAAGTAATTTCAAAATTACAATAAAAACTAAATTTGCATTGAATAATTTAAATATCTATATTAGTAAAAAGAAAATAAAATTAACTTACTCAAAATGCTCGCTACTTTCGTCACTTTGCTCACGATTCTACAGTTATCGCAACAGCGTAATCACTAAATCTCGTGATCACAAAATCTCATATTTATCAATGTAAATGGTAGAAATATCAAATTGTACAAGAAAACTATTGATCACGAGAGAATCAAGAATCAAACTGAGACTCTCTGGCACGGTTACGTATAGAAGACGCGCGAAAACTGTTAAGCTCTATCCCCATCCATGGCGTCTCAAGACGCCAAGAATAAACCCGCAGACTCCCCACCATCATGAAAATCTCCTATATTGTGCTGCTTTCCATCTCTTTCCACTCGATGCAGCTTTCACGACTTTTGTTACATCCTGATCCAATACGATCTTATGTAACGAGACTTGCTTATTGATAAAATATGTTTATTTGATTTATGATTATCTTCTCTATTTAGTTTTTGATTATTCTTTCTGTATATGTATGTATATATATATATATATATATATATATATATACATATTTACATATTTACATATTTATATAAAATATCCTCTTAAGTTAAAAAATGGTTTTCGTTTGCATCACAAATTAACTTTTCTCAGATGAATCGACTTTTTTTTAATTTAAACGAATTCAGCTTTAATTCCACATTTCTCTACTATACTTTACAGTTTCTTAAACAGGTCAACCTAAGGGATTGAATACACAGACAAGATTCGTATGAAATTACTCGGAAACGTAGAAGATTCATTGCATTTCCGCTTTGCTTCGCACGTCACCCGATCAAAGAAGTTTGAACTTTTTCGTACTAGTCATATAACTCAGCGGGTCGTTAAAGCAGATCGTTCGTGCAAGCACGGTGCCATAGGAAACTTATATTCTGTCGCGTGGGTGCAACGTGTGGGCATCGCGACGCTTCCGTCTCGATCAGAGTTCGTTACACTCGTCGATTCGCTGATGAGAAGAAACTCTCTTCGTGCCGGTAAACGTTGTCTTGTAACGTGGAAATACGTCGCCTATTAACTTTTTGCTTTCACCCGACAGCAAGGAAAATCGCAAATGCACCATAGACTCACATTAAATCATTAGACAAAGTAGCGACGCAAATCGAAGATATAAACGCCAATTGATACGGGCGCACCCGCCGGCGACAAATCGCTTCGATACTTGACGGTACGAGTGGGACTGGAATTAAGTGTGATTTAGAACGTCTGAACTCAATACAATGAAAGGACAATTAAGAGGGATGGCTTGGGAAACAGCGTGTCGAGATAGTTTAGAAATCGCGAGTGCGATCGAGCTTCCTTCATAGCTTGTTCAAATAGAAATGAAATCTTTATTCTAAAATTTTATATTGTAGCAAATCAAAAAAATATGTACATTTTGTCAGGATAGTAAAATTAATTAATTTTAATTTTTAATAAATACACAATATATTCATGAATCTTCGAACAATTGGAACTTCGATGGAGAAAAACTGGCGCAGTAATTTAGGTGCTGAGTTGTGCCGAAGAATCTGAATATAATCAATCGCGTTCTGATAACGACAGAATATCCGATCTCTTTTCACAGAGATGGCTGGCTAAGAGATGGAATTGATTTCAGTTTGGTCACACCTTTCAGTTGGTAAATAGGAGGAGGAAGGAGATGGTTATCCGACAGATGGGTCGCTGACGGTATTGCGGTTAAACTACCGGCATTCAATCGGTACAACACACAACCTATCCATTGATCTAGTCGTCTCCCTTCGGCTGCAGCTCACGCTGCTCATGGGCACCCTCCATTTTTCTTTCCGGTCTCGTCTGTCACTCTTCGTCCCATAACAAACGGCGTCGATTTTAGCATTACGTGCAATTTGGGTCACAGCTTTATTGGAACCCACCGGCCGATCACTAACGAAATGAATTGACTCCGAGAGCGTTGGTCGTCCCGTGTTGCCGGCGCGTGCTTTTGGAGGAATCATGGCGATGACGCAATCATCTCGATTAAAGCAATATACCGTGCAGAACAAATCGCTACATTGGATTCTATTATCCTTTGCTAAGCGTGGCTAAAATCGTGTAACGAATCTTCTATTTGATAATGAGATTTGATTAATTTAAATAGTCATTAAATAGTACATTTAGTGGTATTGATAATTTATTCTTTAAATAAATAAAAAGAAATTTAAAATAATTATAAGATACGATAGAATTTGTTACAATTATATATATTTCGTAATCTTATTTAAATTGAAAATATAAGTTTAAAAAGTTTTCCATTTTTTTAAATGTAAGATTTTAATAAATATTTTTAATCTTTATGTAATTTTAATTGATATTTATATTTTTTCGTAATTTGCATAATATTTTCAAATTATAAATTTAGAAAGTATATTTAATTACATATCAAAAGTATTCATTGTGACAACCATTTTACTCATCTCATAAAAAATCAGACTAGAGTATCAGAGAAAAGTGAAGATGTAAATAAGCAATGACAGAGTAGAAACGCTATACTCGGAAGCGGTTAACGCGATGGACCTTGCCCATCCATCGAGCCGACCTTTGATCTATTTCCAGCCGTGAAAATCGCCCCCATCGCGATAAACCGCCATTTTCTCTCCACTTGGCAGAACATATTTCCGGCGGCGTTAGTCAGCGGTTCTAAATGCACTATACTGACTGCTGCTCTTTCGTCTAGTTTGCTTCCTCCCCTCTTGCTGTGAACACTAGCCAAGTTGTATTTCTGACTAGCTCTCGCTGTCAGATCGAGGTTAATTGGGTACCATTACGACGAAAATTAATATGTATTAGTCGACAACGATGAGTTCTCTTGATGTGGACCACGAGTCCGGGGCTTTCATGATAACGATAAATTAATCGACAATCTCATACCGTAAAATTTACAACATGAGAGACAAACTAGCATTTTCATTTTCAAGAATCGAGTTAAGAACAAGAAATATTTAATAAGAATTGCAGCATCATGTCATATGCTATTCATCACTTTATGTATATTTTATGTGAGCATTTTAGAAGTAAAACATGAAAATTCATGTTAACATAGACGTCCGCAATATTATTTTATATTCGAGAGTCTCGTTTATCATATTGTATCGTCCATTTCTAAATTTTATTGGTTAGTAGAAGCCAGAAATCGACTTTATTTGAAATTCTATATATACCCATGTACAATTTTGATAGATGAAAATCAATAATTTATAATTCACATTTTAACTATAAATTATGTGTAACGTTCAAATACTAATAACCAATTTAAGCTAATCAATACTTAACTATGTACAAATTAAAAGTTTTTTTAATTAAATAATTTTTTAAAATATTGTGTGTACTCTAAAAGATAAGACATTAGGTCTGTTTTTTTAGATAAATTTCTTGCACGATTAATTTTTCTTCCTTTTCGCTCTACGCTGGAGAGAAAAAGAAAAAAGATGAATCGTGCAAGAAGTTCAGTTAAAAAGAACAGGCTTATAATTTTTGCTATCACTGTCACGTTTGAAAAGCTACGTTAAAAATATGAAGAAATTTGCACTCACCGTCGTCACTTATCTCGAGATTCGTGTAGCTGTCCCAATGCAAGATGGGATCGTTATGCGCTGATGCATGCGGCACGGCGGGTGTCGGCGCTGGGATTGGGCCGTCCTGACGTTTCGCGTCGGTGGCGAAGTAAAGTGTCACCACGCTGTCGGGTGGGCATCGAGGATCGTCGCAAGCGACATCGAGCTCCGATCGCGGGAAGGAGACGACGTTCTCCGTAATTATGCACGTGTGAAACTAAAGGAACAATGGTTGATATGAGAATATGCGCGACGTAATCAGTGATTGGTAGAAACAATTTATCTTGCTCAATGTCATACAAATTACATACTAAGTGCTTTCATGTTTGTCAAGTCTCCGAAGAGTTTGTAACTGATTTATTTTTCTTCTTCAAAGATTTGATGGAATATTAAGCGCAACATTTTTTATTGATTCTGTTTTACTGAAGAAAAAATTAATAAAACTTTTTATTGCAAAAAAATCAATTACAACAGAATATAAATTCAAATGTTATTAGCAGTTTGTGTAAAGCATGTGTAACAATAAAAAAAAGCACGACTTTTTTCTGCACAAGTATAACTTTAACAAAATAAAACTTGATGTAACGTATCACAATCGATATATTTTTTTTCACAGAGTTTTCTTATACATCAGATTTTTTATGTTACAGGAAAAATTAATATCTATAGTTATATTAATTAGATCATTACGTCGTTTTCAGAATCGACTGTTTGCCCATCGGTCATAAAATTAACGTGCAATATCTTTGCACGATGATTGTCTCTTTTCCCGAACACGTAGATCTACTTCGCTGTCCTTGTTATATTTAACTTTGCATAAACTATCATTTATGTCTCTGATTTCACATCGTGACACTTGCATGTCATAATGTATTCACCATAAATGCATCATGCATGATGCATTTATAAATAGTATTTATATGTGACAAATATAAACGGTGGCTATAAGTGGATATTGGATCAAGCAATACATATTACAATGTCATATAATTTTATAAAAAGATACGAATTAAAGGTTTTACAAGGTTTTACACTGTAATACAATTAAATAAAAAAAATTTGTAATAATTTCTCAATAATTTTTAATAATGTAAAAATAAATTATTACATGTATAAATTTATTTTATATGTACATTGCTTTCTTACCTGGAGGGAAAACATAACTTCTCGAGTCTGCTTCGAGTATACCCTATGATAGCACTTGACCAAGATGTCGCCTCTCAATCGAAGTCCGCCAAGATTAACTGTAAATTCACGCGCGTTCGTTACTGAGTACAGATCCGAAGTGTAAACCGGTGTAAGTCCTTCGTATACTTTAAGAAAGGCTCGACAGCCCGTCGGCTCAAAGAGCGGCACTCCAAGGACTGTTAGATGGGTCAGGTACAATGGCGACTGGCTGATCCTCAAAGAGCCTGACAGTAGTCCGCTAAAGTACTCGATGTATCTAGAAAATCCAGGAGATTATTATTGTATTTGACATCCAAAAATAAATATGATATTACATTTTCAATTTTAAAATAATTTCTAATTCCTGATTCGCGATCTGATGGTTTAAACGATTAAAGATGAATACCATAAATAACGATCAATAAATCGATGAGGTTTACCAAGAGGCAATCTTCCTGGTACGAGCAACATTGCAAAGTAAAAAAAAAAACGAAAGAGCAAATTTCTCTCAAGCCACAAATGCGCGCATGCATAAGAAACATGATGAATGGGATTGATGGTTCGACCAATGGAAGCCTTGGCCCGTGACACGAAGAGGTGTGCATGTCAGACGAGATAAGAGTACGTGCCACTAACGTTCGACACCATTCGTCGTAAGAGATCTCTCGGAGGCAAGCTAGTAATGGTTTCATACGCTTGCAACTACGCTGAGAGTGCAACTACGCTAACGACATGCTAATGCTCGCGGCTTGCGGAATTAATGGAGGAACTCCAGTAGGCAGGACCAGAGGAGCGTGAGGACCACGAAGAGGAGGCGATATGACAAGCAAGAAAAAGAAGAAGAAGAAGAAAAAGAAGAAGCGATAAGGAAGTCCCCACGCACGCGGGCACACCTCGGTCGCGGCTCATTACAATCATTATGAATGCATACGGCGACGCGGATGACAAGGACGACGATAAGGACGATGATGACGGTAATGATACGGCGATCGTGGTTACAACGGGGTCGATGGCGCGTAATACGCGCGATAAACTGCCGGATAGGTTGCGTTTATTTCGTTAAAAGAAACCGGTTGATCAAATAGCGAGTATAAATCTCAAGAGGAACGAAAACGTTTATGGAAAAGAGCGAGAAAAAAAGCAATGAAAAAAATAGAATGAATTAGATTTTCATTGAGATTGAAAGATTTTAAAAAATTACATTAAAATTAGATATTTTATGTATTTATTCAGTCAATTATTTAAATAAGAATATATGATCTTATAATGCTTACATACTAACACTGATGTATCCGAATTACTTATTTAGAAATAAGAATTATAAATGATTTTGTTATAAATATTGTTATATATAATTTATAATTATCTTCTAACGATTATATTCTATAATTATTAATAATTACTGTATTTTAAAAATGTAATATTCTTATTTAGTTGCGTAATTATCCAAATAATATTTTTATTAATGTAATCAATTTAGAAAATAATTAATTATAATAAAATGATTTATAATTATTATTAAAATTATTTAAAATTATTTATCATTATTATTATATTTCCAATAAATGATTCGGATACATCAACATTATATAAACATGACTATAAAATCACAATATTTTTCGAATAATTTGTTATTTATTCTATGTTAGATAAATGATTATATAAAATACGTAATTTCAATATAATTTGATGTTATTTACATATATTATTTATATTAGAGTAATTATTTTTATTTAGATAATTGATTCTAAGAATAGTTAATCGTTCATGAGAAATAATAATTTGAGATCATTACATATGTATATCCAAATAATTATTCAAATAATTATGATATATTTTTAAATTATATGCATAGCAAATAAGATCAACTTTATGGCTTATCGATATATTTTAATTTCTTAACGTAAACGAGAAAAAACTTTTTTTCTTCAATCGGGTTACATTTAAGTCAGAACATATTACGATGGCTACAAGTGCGAATGAGATTAAAAGAGACAGCCGCATGCAAACTCGACCGCGTTTCATTACGGTCATTATGAATGCATACGACGACACAGCGATGAAGTAAACGATAAGGCTGCCAATAATGATGATGATGAGAGCTCGCTATCTTTAGATCAATGGTTCATAGTACGCGTGGATAGAACCGGCTGACAGAAACATCTCTTCAACAACAAAAACGTTAAGTATACTACACGGCCGATCATTTTATTTTGTTGCTGCCATCTTGCCTCGCGATCTTCCCTCACCGGTAAATGTTGTAATCATGGTGTGAACGAAGCGATTACGGGAGTTGCAATTTTAAAAGTCGTCGATGCTATTCCGAAGTTCTAAGGAATCTCGAACGAATTTCCGGAATCCATTATAGAGGAATGATCGGATAGGCATCAACATGATTAATAGCGGCAAAGGAACACGAAGGATGGCAGAAAACGAGCATGGATGATTAAAGATGATGACGACTAGATAATGAGAACTCAACATTTCAAGTTGATGATGCATAGAATGGACAACAAATAGGATGGCTGTTCAAGGACGTAAGATGTCCTTCTTAATAGGACCGCTTTGGTAATAAACGTAAATTAGTTATACGTTTCTTCTTTTCCTGTGTGATATAAATTTGAAGAAATTGCACAGCTTCCGCAATAAACGTTGAAAGCATCATTGATGTATAGAAATGACTACGTATGTATGCAAATAGTTTAATTAAGCTTGCATCTCTTACATCCGTTTTATTTAATTCAGAATTAATAAGTTTCAACTCTCGAAGAGGAAGATAGACGCAAAAAAGTAAAAAAAATTACGTGATATTAGAGGATGCGAATTATTATATCATTATTGTAAATTATCTCGGTTTCTAAGTTTTAAAATAAAATATTATTTTAAAAAAAGCATTTTTCAATATTCACGTCCTAAAATTAAATAATAGTAATAAAATAAAACAAAGAAGAATACGTTTATGAAATGCAATGTATATTGTACATCAATCATTCAAGTATGAAATATCGTAAAATAGATTATAAAATAAGATTTTCTAACACAATCGATTGCTTATCATTGAAAGTGTCAATAAATGAGAATTAAAATAAATTGCGAGAACGAGATTACATTGAACGTATAATGACTATAGGAATTAAGAAATAAATCTATAAACCTTTTGCGATGGATGCACGCGCTCGTAAAGGATTTTATGATTTTGTCTGAATTATTTGCAAATAAATACGATAGAATTGAGTTTTAACGACAATATATCAACAGGTAGTACGCATGCAACTTTCTCTCCCTTTTTCTCTCTCGTTACCTTCGATGCGATGGAACCTGCAGCGATCCGATCTTGTCATCGAGGAACCTTCTCATGGCGAACCTGTCCAATGCTTGATCGCGTCCCCCGCAGATGCTGCTGTAGTTCATATAAGCAGACACTGCCACACCCAGCCGCTCCTTGCTGCCCCTGAAGAGAACGATAACGTTAACTTGGTACTGCGAACGCGCAATGACGGTTCCGTACCTTCTCCGTAAGAGGTAGGATACGAAAAGATTTCGCCGCGGGCTGATCGCGGTCTAATGACGTTATTATTCACGATGAATGGAAATGACTAACGGGAAGTTATGGGCGCGGAGTTTCGAGGGGGCGGTGAACGTATACCGCGGTAAAATTATGGCTTTTGCGGCCGATCACTTGAACATTGGCCATTCTACAAAAACCAGGTCACGAATGCGTACAAATGTGCGTACATGGAGAGACTTGCGCTCGTAACTTATATTATTCTTCGAAAACAATTTCTTTTCGGCTTGAAGAATTCGATAGATATATATTAAAGTCCTTATTTTCCGCCACTCTCAACAACAGTCGATGTCATTACATTATCATTATGCAAGTTTTATACATAATAAAGCAGCTACGCAACGACAGTATAACGACACCGATACTGTCGTTAAGAGTTATACAATAGGAACCTAAATGTTATTAAAATCGCCCGTAATTTAATTGTAAATTTATTATTATCTCTTTCGTTCAAGTTTATCAGAAGATAAATTAGACAATATTTGAAAATCATCTATTCACCTGGCATGCAGAACAACGACGCGATTAGAAGCGCCGTTTAGCCAGGAGTCCAGCTCCTTGCAGAGAGCACACAGTCTCTCCAAACTTGGCGCTAATCCCTGCGGCCATCCAGCTTCCCTCGTATTTGGCTCACCGGGTCGGCCGGGCGATGACAAATTAAAGATCTGGAAGCACGAGATATCCACAACTTCAAGATAATTGCAAAAATAAACATAGAAAAGAAACATAACTTCATGATCTCATTCTATTGTTTCAGATTATAAAATATTGTTATAAAAGATCAATTTTACATTAATTGTTATTATTATTATTATTATTATTATTATTATTATTATTATTATTATTTTATTATGTATAGAGAAATTACAAAGCATACACAAATAATGAGACACCAGCAAAACTAACTGTTATTAAGTCTTCCAGAAAACGAAACGAATTATAAATTATAAAGAAATTAGTACAATTCAAGATAAGCTTCTTGCTAGTAAATAATTCGATAATTTTAAGAAGGTAGAGGCCAAGAATGATTTGAGCATAATTGCTGTTATCAGCAATTATAAGCTTACCAGAAAACGAAACAAATTCTTAATATTCGCGCTCATAAAATTATGATAAATATAATATGATAATATATTATGATAAATAATATTGCAAAATGTATA